GGGAATATTTTACATTTTACCAATGTTCTAAAAGGCGCTAGGCGCTAGTCGAGCGCTAGCCCAACGCCTAGACGATTAGGCGGGTGCCTAGTCGGGGACTAGTCGGAGACATTTAAATTGCATATTTATCTATGTTTTTACATAAATATGATAAGTAATATTGTATTCTTATGTGTATAAATACATATACACACATACCTATATAAATAATAATAGAATTTATGTATATATAATATATACAAATATATATAGTCTTTATCTTAATTTACAATTTTCTTTCTTTATATTCGGGGCTAAAGTTAAAGTACTTATATCATTTAGAAAATTAAAATTATAAAGTAAAGTAATGTTCGGCGAATCTAGATGACCTTGGTTGTTGATTAGGCGCTCTAGGCGGGCGACTAATTCACCTAAACGGTAAACCAATTAGTCGGAGCGCCTAGCCAAAAATCGGGGCGCCCGACCACCGCCTAACGCCTAGGCGGGGACTAGTCGGATGCCTAGAACGATTTTTAGAACAGAGCATTTTACAATACCATTATTTTTTAGTTTTTACATAAACTTTACTTTTGCTGTGATTCAAAACTAACAACCTAACTTCAATATTATAAACTTTACTTTTGTTGTATATATATACCTATGGGAGATTTCCCTAAACAAGACTAAATAAAAAGATAATTGCAGTAATAGGAGCTTAAAGTTTTAATTATCAAAATAGGACTAGCTCTTCCTATTCTACCCTTTCCCCTGTCCTCCCAAATAGGATTTTTAAATAATCATTATAAAACATAAAAAAATCAAAAAAAAAATTGTAAAAAATAAATAAAAAATATTTATACCTCAACCACCACCTAAGCCACCTTATAATACCGCCACCTCCGGTTGCCAAAAAGGATTATTAAGTTTGGAGGAAAAATGTCATCTTGAAGGCAATTTTGAAAAGAAAGCTAGACATTTTCAAAGAGTATACGTAAAAATGTCATCTTTAAGGCATTTTCAGATAAATATGACCCTTTTTACACAAGAAGACATTTTTTTCCCATCGATCGGAGGTGATGGTGCTAGGAGGTGGAGGATGCGGAGGTAGTGGCCTACATATTTTTAAATATTTTTACGTATTTTCTTTTATTGTTTTAGATTTTTCAGATTTTAATTTTTATTTTATTTTATTTTATTTTTCCCCGATTTTTTATTAATTAATAAATATATTTCGATTTTTTATGTTTTTATTATAAACAAAACAATGATTTTTTTATTAATAAATAAATTTATTAGAAATTAAAGGTCGACGGTGGATTAGGAAGAAACGACATATGTTACTCCTACTTTGGGAATAAATGAAGTATAGTCGTAATGTGGAATTTTGGGCTACTATTACTCCCATTTAGGGCTAACAGCCGTAAAAATATGTCTGAGAATAAATTAACATGTAATGTATTGACACTAAGAGGCCGTTTGACAACTATATTTTCGACTTAGCTTATCAGTCAACTTTTTCACCAAACACACAACTTTTGATTTCGCGTGATGAGTTGTGTAATAATAAGAAAAAGGAAAGTTGAAGTTAGACTTGTCCCCGGTTCGGAACCGAACCGGAACCCGAAACCGAACCGCCGGTTCACGATTCCAAATTTTAGGGAACCAGAATTGGATAGTACCGGCTCTAAAACCGTCGGTTTCAGTTCGATTTCCGGTTCCATTGTTTTTTTTAAATAATAAAGTTTAGTATGTTTAAATAAATTAATTTTAGTGATAACAACAAATTACAAGAATAAAAATCTCTTATTGTTAAAACTATGTACAAAATAAGATAGCTAATGGCTACATAGGTACAAGTATTTTTAAATAATTTAATTATTAATAAATAATGGATACGGAGTACTTATTACTAATAATTTTAATAAAGAAATATATTAACTTGTATAGTAATAACTAAGGAGTAGTAACTAATAACTCTTATAATGTAATTTCTATTATTAATACAACTAATTAAGGGGACAATTAATACTAATAATATTATAAATTTTAGCATTAATGATATTATTAATAATATTATAATTAGATAATTAATTAAAAAAGAGGTTCCGAACCGGAACCGCCGGTTCCGGTTTCGCATTTTTGGGGAAACCGAACCGGTCTAGTAAACCTCCGGTTCCAAACCGGAAGTACTATGCGGTTCCGGTTCCGGTTCCGGTTCGATTAAAAAACCGGCGGTTCTGGTTCTGGTTTTGATTTAACCAAAAATCGTGGGCAATTCTAGTTGAAGTTACTTTTGTGACTGTATAATGTATTAGCTGAAGTTACTATAGACGATCATTTTAGTTATTTTTACTTATAATTTTTCTTTATTTTATTAATAAAATGTATTTTAAATATAATTTATTTCTTAAATCAGAAGAATCAGCCAATCCAGCCACTTCAGCCAGAACTTCATAAATTTCAACAGAATGTACTGATTCAACCGATTTTTGTATTACCAAACAGTCTCTAAGTAATGAATATAAATTATTTTGCTCAAAATAGTTGAAATATTTTTATATTAATAACGTAACTGAAATATATGAATATGCAATTAGGCCTACATTAATGTATGGCATAGAGTGTTGGATGGTGAAACAATGTCACATTCAAAAGATGAGCGTGGCACAGGCGTATGTTGCGTTGGATGTGTGGATATACGAGAAAAGACCGTTTGAGGAATGAGATAATCAGAAAAAAAGTGGGAGTAACACCTATAAAAGATAAGATGCAAGAATCTCATTTGCGGTGGTTTGGGCATATGCGTAGAAGACCGAGTGATGCACCTGTTAGACGACTTGAGAGGTGGGGAGAAGAGACATAGAGGGGAGAGGGAGGGGAAAATCCAAACAAACTTGGATTAGAGGAATCAGAACTGATATGCGTATTCTTGGCTTAAATGAGAGTATGGCTTTGGAGAGGGCAAAGTGGAGGGCACACATTCGTGTGGACGATTGATCTCTTTTCTATTTTTCCTCTCTCTCTCTCTCTTTTTGTTTTGTCTTTTTATGTTCTTATGTTATTTTTATCCTCTAGCTTTTTTTTATATGTTCTTTTATCTTTTAATCTTTTATCTTTCTTATATTCTTATTTTATTGTTATCTTATACGAAGTATTTATTTATCTTTTATCCAGAGGGGCCCGGAAAATTTATATTGTAAGGACCGTATACGGTTTATCTTATTCGTTTTATCCTTTTCTTCTTCTTCTTGGTTGTCTTATCTTTTTTATATCGATTCATGTTAGCCGACCCCAAAATCTTTTGGGATTAAGGCTTGAATGTTGTTGTAACGTAATGTGAAAGACCACATACCCCGTTATTACCAACTAAGGGGGTGTTTGGATATGATTCTTAAAACAGCTTCTGCTCCTTCACAGAGCAGAAGCAGAAGTTGGAGTGCTTGGCTGAAAGTGCAGAAATGATTCTGGTGCTCTAATTTATTCCTAGAATCAGTTTTTTTAGCAGCTGAGGGAGACCAGCTTCTGAAAACCGATTCTGATTCTGCTTCTACTTTAAAAAGAAGCAGAATCAGAATCACTTCTAAACACCCCTAATGGTAGGTCCATCTTTGACCATAGGAAAGTACTTCTGATGGACAGACAACTTGTCTGCTATGGACAGACAAATGTACAAAAAAGTGTACAACTTTTGTGTACACCACGTATTTTTCGCGTTTTCAGAGATTTTTTTTCATATACGTGATTTTTGCATGCATCTGGAGCTAGTATGGACTGGAACAACATAACCAGTGGAGGACAGAGGGGGTCCTAGGGGGGCAAGTGCCCCTGCTTCTGACCCCAAAATTTAGTATTAGTACTTAAAATTTCATCAGTGCCCCTGCTCCAGACCCCGAAATTTAGTATTAGTACTTAAAATTTAATCAGTGTCTCCACTTCTTGATGTAAAACTATGATATTAGATATGTATTAATTTTGTCAAAGAGCATATGTAAATTTTTATAATACATTTAAATGACTACGGATTGATGATGAAGCGATTCCATACAACTAGACATGTTCTTGACACGGTCATTTTTTGAAAAATGGCATTGGTAATCATTTTTTTGTGAAGGCGAACTATCTTTTTTTTTTCAAAATTAGAAGTCAATGATATAACAAAACTTCTAATATGTGTGGTGAATTTATGGATTAAGATTATCTTAAATGAAATTCCATACACAAGATATATTCATTGTTTTCTTACCAAATACAATTAGTTGTTGTGGCAATTGCACTAAAAAAAGTTTGTGAATACTTTCTTTGAATATTTTTTCATGGTTATGTTACTAAAATGTTGGGATCCTCGTGTAAAATGAAGGGCGTATTTCGATAAAAACAACATGATGCCATAAGAGATTTATTAAGACAGTGTATAGTAGTAACAAACGGGAGATGATTGAATCAAGAAATTAGAGTAGTTTAGCTCGGCCAAGAGTTACATGTTACGGTTCACAATTTAATCCCGAGTTAATGAAGGAATTTTGGACACTGTAATTCTGTGACAGGATGTGCAATGTTGGACACTGTCGTAGTTCTAAATCAAAATTTTGATTGTTTGTGGTACAAAAACAACTTAAATTCTAATCCAAAACAAGAAATGGTGTCAGAATGATTCAATTCTAATTCATATGAAGTATTATGTTTTTCTATCAAAAAATTGGATATTATTATTTAGAATTGTTTAAATGGGTTGAAAATTAGACCCGTTGTACATAGATGTAATACATTTGAAACTGAAATCGAATAACATGTTCATGTTTAGGAAAAGTGCCGATACATTGAATAAATTAGTCTCACATCTGACCCGGCCCATCTGCGTCCATACTGTAGTGCCCCACTTGAGAAAAGTTCTGGATCCGCCACTGAGCATAACAACACGGCGACCATATCATGAGCTATGGTTACAGAATCGTACGGAAGGTTCGTTAAGCTGAGCAATATATTTTTCAAACGGACGAAAATGAGCAGAGCAAAAAAAAGAGCAATATAAAATGGGCTTCTTCAGTTCTTCAGATATAAAATAAGTAATTACAAAAAATTTATAAAAAAAACACCCACATGTAATTATGTAAAGTTACAGCCAGTGCACAGTAATTTTTTGTGAATGTGGGGCCTAAGAGGCTAAGACAGTGAGGTTTGAAGTTCAAGTAACTCCAGCTATGCGAAGAGTTCCCAAGCTGTGAAGAAAAAAAGCAACAGTATTATCATTGCTTGGCTTACTTCTCAATTACTTCATATCTGCAAATTCATAAATTAACCACTTGAAGATGTGAAGAGCTTCTTCAGCTACTTCTTGTCCAAGAAGTCAGGGGCCTTTTCAGCGAAAATGTTGTGCAAATCCATAGCTTTTTCCTTCAACCCAATATCTGAACATGCATCTACCAGTTTTGACCCATCGAATTCCACACCACTTGACTTCTTCCATTGATCAACGATTTCCCTCACCTCCCTAATGTGCCCCAACATCATATACGATGAAATGATGCATAAATAATTCCGACTTGTCATTTTCTGCTTCGTCATTGTCAAAGATTTCCACACCTGGTCAAGTTTTTCTTTGTTCCCAAGTCCACCATACAGAATGATCAAGAAATCATAAGTTATCCACTCCCTTTGTGTAATTTGACCCTTCTCGGTCTCAACCAAAGAGACAGACTCCGAATTTACAAGGTGAGACGAGGAGATATATATGTTCACAAGATTTACATATCTTTTCCACTGTCCATCAAATCCATGGTCGAGATTAATTTCGTCAAGAATCCGTCTCACCTCATCAATTTTGAGAGAAGCAGCACATGAACTAATCCATAAATTGTAAGTAAATATGTCCGGTGAAACATTTTGGGATTTCAGTTCCCGAATGAGTGGAGACACCTTCTCTAGTTGTCCAACAGACATGTAGAGAGTCAGTAGTTCATTGTAAGTGAGGATAGTGAGTGAGACATTTGCTTCCTTCATTCTCTCATACAGTTCCTCGGCCTTATCGGTTAGTCTTGTGCTTGCAAATGAGTGAAGGAGGGCTGTATAGGTTTCACTGGTTTTTGCAGAGTCTGGAAGAGCTTCAAAGTATCTCTCAGCTGCATCAATACCAAAAACTTTGGTCATCAAGTCAATGCGGACAGCATAATCCGTGTCCGATATCTCATTATCATTGTGAGCAACCATCCACTCTGATATCTGAGAAGATATGCATTGCAAATCAATACTTGTGAAAAGGAAAACAAAATATTACTAGTTTACAATCAATGTTTTGGGGCTTGTTTGATTCAGGGATTTCAGAGAAAAGCGGGAGGGAGGATTGATTTTTATTTTATCAATTTATCACTATTTGTTAGTTATAGACAAGAAATAATTATATAAATAGTTAGACATTACTTTATAATTTTCTATCTTCACTTCATTTGCAACCATCTATGTGTTGAAATAAATTTAAAAATATACATCACGCCCCTTTATCCCCACCCCAAGAAAATCCTAAGGCCAGACAAGCCCTTAAGGTCGAAAATCCATAAACGACCCATGATCTTTGATTCTTTGAAGTTCCATAAACTTGATTGAGCTTGAACTCTTCAAGTATTCCATTTTGTCTATGAACTAAATACAGTATCTCAATAATGACAACGGACACTTTCAAAAAGTCCTGATTGACTTTGAATGGGCTGCAGGCCTTGAGAATGGGCTGGAATCAGGCCTTATGATAGCTGCAGCCCGCAGTAAGTATTTCTTCGACCAGATGTTCTTTCTGATGGTGAACAATATGGATGACAAAATTGGTGATAATAGCTGTAGGGATTGAAACTATTCAAAGTGGACCTGGGATTCAAAAAACTTTGGTGGCAGATCGGTGGGCTCGCAAAAAAATGGTGCCGCTTCTGGAGGAATCCTATCGATTGAAATTTCTTGTGAGGTAAAATTACCACCTCCCCCATCAAATTTCTTGTAACGATTCACCCCACACACTCGGGACTCCCAATTCGAGATAATATTTGTAGACTCTTTCCTTCCACTAGGAATGCCATAGTAGCACTTGGCAATATGTGTGAAAATGGAAAAATTATCACATGCAGGGTTTATGATTTGCTAAGGGTCAAAGGGATTGGCAAGGTGTGGATGCTGTTCATATGGAATATGGAAGGAATACATCCCCCCAATTGTCCTTCACTACTTGGTTAGCATGTAGGACAAGGCTCCCTACACAAGACTCGCTTTTATATTTGAATATTGTTAACCGATGTGATCTTTGCAATGGTGACAACGAAAGTGTGCCACACCTATTTTTCTTGTGTTCATACTCTAGCAAGGTTTGGGATGCTATAAAGAGTTGGATGGGCATGGACCGCCACATGAACACCATGGCAAGCTCAATCAAATGGATGAAGAAGAACCGGGGCGGGGCAACCATGAAGGTAAAGGTGACTAGGACTGCATTCTGTGCCACGGTTTTTCGGATTTGGAGTTAGGAATGCCGTTAGATTTGATGAGGCAACATTGAATGAAGAGGACATTATTGCTAAGATAAAGAATGTGGTATACAAAGTTATTTATAACAAGTATCCACATAAATTGGTCAAATTCTGAGCAAGAAGGAGATGTGGTCTCAAAGACCTTTTTGCTTATGTAACCGAACTGTAAAGTGTTTTGCTTATGCAAACACTTTTGATTGCTACTTTTTAGACTAGCTTGATCTTTTAGATAGGCTTCCTTGGCCTACTTTTTACGGAAAAGCCCTTCTCCCACCCTTGTTCCAAATAAGGGTGGGTGGTTTTTTTTTTAAATTTTGGACACATTTATATGTTATTTTTAAGGGTGTTAATATAATTTACATTTCATCCAAAAAAAAAGAGCCAAGGTTGTGACTTCCCAGAGCCCAAAAAGGATGGATGACCTAAGAAGCGCACCACTCTCTATGCCAACTTGAACTTCATAGACTTTCTAACCATAGTTCTCACAACCACTGAAAATCGCGTCCATTTCACTTATGGGGAGTGCAACAATCTGTCCCCACTGTACGTGGCCCACAAATTGATTGGTAATTGACTATTAATACCTGAGGACTCCTTACACTGACCACATATCCCAATATAAATCAACACCTATCGTTTGGTCCAAGTGTACCACCATCGATACCTGACTTTGCTGCTCCAAATGTAATCCTTGAATTATGCTTCAATCATGACCATGCTGCTTCGACTGTTTCCCTTATTAGTCTGATTGCATTTCTTGCTTCTAAACTGTCCAGCTAATTGTGTGTATTAGAAACTAGAAAAAGACCACGTACCTTCAAATTTTACCCCTTGTCGATCTTTGCCTTTTTACCCACTGAATGCTTCTTTCGATGAAGGACAGCTACGACACAGCTCCCTCTAACTTTTATTTTTACTACTTCGAGGAAGACTTCATAGATTGAACGAAGAAAACACTTCATTGTTGATGGAATCAATTCTAGTGCCTATTGTTAAATGGTGTTCTTTTTTTTGTCGAATCATCATGAGCCTCCTATTAGGAATGATCCGTGAAGCAGAAAATATAACTAGCCATAGACTGTCAATTTTGATTATTTCATTATTTTGTCTTTCAAGTATTTCTGCTACAGGCTTGAGATGTGGGAAAAAATCTAGATTAAGCAGTCTTAGAATTTACTGGCCACACAACTCTTTAGAGAAATTTACTGTGTGTATGACAAAAAGAACTAGTGTTTTCCATTGTATGACTATGAAGTTATACTTCTATTGTAATGCTGTATGTCATGCATAGTAATAGGTGATGGTATGTTCTCTTTTCCTTTGCATGTCCCATAACAACTCATAAACCATATAGCTTTCACATTACTAGTCATATATAGGGAATCTCACCACATTTTGGTCACATGTTGGTAGTTTTCCCAATCTTTAACTCTTACTTCAATGAAAGAGCTAAACCATATGATCCACAAATTAAATACTCGAAATTCAGTACTCAATACAAAGTTTGAGTACAAAATGTGGTCCACAAGTACGAATCACAAATTATTCTGAGGGTAATTTGGGTAAGATTGGAGGATAATATTATTAGATGTAGGGAAGTACACAATATGTTAGGACTGGATAGGGATGGAAACAAGATAGGTAAAATGTGACAGAGGGAGTATGCCATTCTCGTCACAGGATATGAAGATAAAATCAATGCGAGACTGGTTATGAAGAATTTTACGGAGTACCTTCTAATCTCTCTATAAAGAACACTATACTACAGTTAACAAGCAGGAAATTATTAAGAGATGTCCATATGAATAAATGAGTACAGAATCTTGCCATGTGTATTAAGCCCATCTACCCCATCAAAAAAGCTACTAAACAGGGAATTAACCAGTTCGTCATTACTCATCAGCATTGTGAACTAGACCATCTAACCTCATTACTGTTTCTGGTAATTATAAAAACAATGTACTCATTCGCAAGATAGACACAATATGCGATGATCCATCATTCCATTCCATGATTTCTTTTCCCTCTGTCACAGGCTTACATGAAAAATAACCAATATTTTGAGCTAATGTGATGATGAATGAGTTCATTTGGCAGCAAAATAACCAATTTAAAATCAAGACAAGAAATTCAAAACGCATTCTTCATTTCCAGCTGAGAATTCGAATATAGCTAAGGGCAACTATGTCAAAGAAAGTCTTGTTAAAGAAAAAAAGAGGGAAACGCGAAAGAACCTCAAGGGCGTGCTTGTAGCGGCGGGACTTCCGAAGTTCCTGGGAGATGTGCCGGAGGTCGGAAACGGCGACTCGCCGGCCTTCATCCACCCACTTCTGAATGACGTGTGTGGCACTTCGTTTGGGTAGTCTGAGCCTGAAGATCCTGTCTTTCAAATCGTCTTGTTCTTCTTCTCCGGCCGTACCATTTTCAACAACCAGGCGAATCGGGGAATCCTCACATACAAGCTCAATAGTATTTGTAGAGGAGAAGGATCTAAAGAGAACTCTTTTCTCTCCGACTCGAGCGTTCCTGTTGATTTTTCAAACATATGGAAAGCCGGAAAGTTAAGTTATCAGTGAAAATGACTAAGACAAGAATCGAAGATGGAGATAAGTGTTACCCAGTGAGAGCGGCGAGAATAGAGCGAGCAGCCATGAAAGTTGTGACCGGTGATTGCTGGGAGGAAGAGAGATTTCTTGAATTGATTAAAAAAAAAAGGAGTGGAGCAAAAAAATTTTAATGTCAGAAGTGGGATTTGAACCCACGCCCTCTTTCGAAGACCAGAACTTGAGTCTGGCGCCTTAGACCACTCGGCCATCCTGACTTGTTGTGCCTCTGATAAACTTAGTGTTATATAACCTATTACTAAAAGTAGGTTAATCCCTACTTTTAACTTAAGTAGCACGGAAACGAGAAACGTGAAACGGGAAACGTAAAACGGGAAACGGGAAATGGGAAACGCGAGAAACGTAATTTCTAAAAAATATAGGACACGAAACGTGGGGGAAACGCGTAAATATTATAAAATATAAGGATATATTTATAATATTTTTTAATATATGTACACAAATTTTTCCATATGCACATGTTTTTTTAATATAATTTGTTTAGTAACCAAATGGTAAAATCACTCTACATGTTCGAATTTAGATATTATTTCATATAAGTACATAATTAAACATAAAATGTACGGAGTAATACATTTCTAGCAATACATTGCGTTACGAAATTTAACAAGTGTTGCCGCTGAGAAATACCACAAAAATTCACTATAAAAAATTAGTTTCCACCACAGAATCTTTTGAAAAAGAAAAAAATTGGAATCCGAGGTTTCCGAAACGTAGTGAAACGGGTTTCCAATTTTTTCTTAATTACGGAAACAACCCCGAAACGGGAATTTGAAGTTTCCGAGTTTCCGAAACGCTTCCGAGTTTCCGAAACGTGGAAACGTGAGCCATGGAGAGTTTCCATGCTTCCTAGCTTTTAACTCGTTACGTTTTTATTCTTCATATGATATGATTGCAATAGATATATGACTCTTTCAAAGAATAATGTTGATTTGCAATTGCATAATAAAGCTGCATTTTTGTTGAAAGATGAGCACCAGTGGGTTGTTCCGAATAAAACAACTCATTCGAATCATAAATGGATGAGATGATTCTCATGAGAAAGTACATGCATGTATTATAATTCATGTTTGTATTAATTAATTTAGTTTACATTACATCTTTCTTCGCATATAGAATCTCTACATCATTCTTGGCAAGGAAATAGCAAAACTTTTTATTTTGTATACCTTACTATTTACATAATCTACGGACTAATATTGTTCATTAAGATTCTCTATTCTTGATATATCTCCTATGCAACTCTAGTTATCAATACTATGATAGTTAACTTTGGTTATAAATGTTGTGATGTAAAAACAATTGCTACAATTGTCTATAATCTTATGTAATTTATGTCCCTAATGGTGAGTTCATATCATATACCATCAACAAAGAAATGGCTAAATTATTTCTATTTGACTTTTTAAGCTTTACAATTTTTCTAATGTTTTAAGTTTTAACTGCCCATTTTATACTCAAACAGTGAACCCTCCGTTTCGCCTTCCCTTATGAATGTACGGAGTATTAATTGTATCTCACAGTACTAGCTAGAGATTCTACTCTCATCAAAGTTAATTTTTCTTGTACCTTTCTTGTATCTCTATTCCAAAATGAAAGTTACACGCTTTAGTATTCATTGATCAATTCAATTTTTTTTTTTTACCAAAATCTTATTAAATTTAATTTCAAGTTAAACAATATTATAGACCCATTAAGTAGGTTATTATGATTATATAAATTTAAATTCTGATTAGAAATTGTCAATGAGAAATTTATTTTACCATTGAACAAATCTCAAGAAGTAATTGTTATTTTGAACTGTGGGAGTCCTAAACATATTGCGGAGTATAATTTTTGTTTTGAATAGAGAAGGCTTAAATTACATCATCATAAACTCGCAGACAAAAAATAGAGCAAACACTCCCATTTCGATCACTTGCCTTAGAATTAGACGTGAAATTATATGTGGTATATGCACAATAATTTGCTAACACTTCAACGAGCATCTTAAAGCCTATTGTAATCAAATGAAAGAGATCACTCCGCAAAACACCCACCAGATAGGTGCTCCACACCACAGTCATAACAAAACCATCCTAGTGTACTCACTAATGAAACCGAAACTAACAGAATAGTAACCAAAATTAAACTCAAAGTTTGAAAGAAAAAATTGTGAGCAAAATAAATAAATCTTGGAATTTGAGCCATCCATCTTCAGTTTGTCGGGCGAGCCTATTGTCCAAGCTCGCCCCAACCTCATTTTTTCCGCCACTGGTTTCAACCTCCATCAATGTGCGAGCTGATGATGTCTCTACTTCCACCCGACGGCACTTTTGGTTAGTAACTTGTACTCCTACATCCTGGCTTGCTGGTTTCTCAATCTCACAGGCAAAAACAACAGAACTAGAGCCCATATTCACTAATCCATTTGCCGGTGTAGAACTCTCTATTACCTCGTCAACGTCCCTGCTTGGATGTTTTCTCAAACACAAACCACTTATTACCTCTTCTTCCACTAGTGCTCTCACTACCTGCTCTCATCCATGGACCAAATTATTTTGTGTGTTTGGAATTTGATTGTGCTAGAATCTCATGACAGAACTTGTTAGCTCTATCCTTTAAAAATCAACGTGTTGACCGTATTGCTCCTAAGTTGACTCCGTTGACCATCTAGCTCTGAGAATTGACCTGTAAAATAATCACTAAAAAGAACTAAAAATATGTTAGAAGCTCGAGATGCGTCAGACGTTGTCCTAAAGAATTATTTCCGGCGTACGGAAATTCCCCCAGGATATAACGAGCCCTTCGGTATGAGACCGGTACCAGAACTAATGAGAAGAAAATAATTATATGAACCCAATAATCATTTCAAGAAAATCATAATTTGAGATATACTACGTATCTTTTATGTACTTCGTATAACATAAACCATATGGAGTCCCAGAGTCAGCCGAGCAACAAGCATGGAATACTTTGTCAAGAAGCTTAACGCCACACTTGCTATTCCAATGCATACCTACTGGTATATATATAATGTTCATATTAAAGCCAATAGTTAAACACACATGATCCATACGTTCCTCTTCCAAAATTTAATGTACCTCAAACATCAAATACTATGTACTAAAAAAAGTAGTGAACGTAATTCCCTATTAATATACTATTAAATATAGTAATGAAAGCCACAACTCATGAAACGGTTTTGATAGAAGCTCAAAGGAAAATGCTCAATAATGCATATTTTTTTTATTAATAATCAACAATTAAACTTCCTTAAAGATAGTGTTCAAACATGTGTTCAAATGTAATGTTTAGCATTTCATTTTCACTATAGGCATAATTTTAATATGAAGAGATAAAAGTAGAATGTATATATAACACGTATAAACATTTATTATTAAATTAGTGTGTGAAATATTAATTAAGAAAAGTAATATTTTATTCATTTGAAATACTCCCAATTTTTCCAACACAACTTGTCTCCATGATCATTGATACCACAATCAAAACAGAAATTAGGGAGGTTTTCATATGTCAGATCAACCCATAGACAATCCTCATTCTTTTTTTGAACCTTTAGATTTTTCCTAAGTGGTTTCCTGATATCAAGGCAAACCTGGACCCTCAAATTGATTTTCATCAAGTTTAATGAAACATCCAAGATTATTAGCAATAATTCTACCAACCATTAGAGTCGAGTGACCCACAGACAAGTTATGTGCTTGGACCCGACAATCTGAGAAGTATAGAGGGACTCTCAAAGGCAGATCATCCGACCTTAGTTCATGCAACACCACAAGATTCTGATCATACAACCACGAGCCATACTTTATAACACATGTCATATCAAGTAAAAGGAGAAGAGATACCTCTTATCGCTTATTTCTTTGATTAAGACACCTATGCTCGGTCTCCAACCAAAAGTCATTGCGTCCTAAACGCCAGAAATTTCACTGTCTTCTTTGTAAAAACAATGCCTGCTAGAGACCACTCGGATAGTCCCCCTTCCTGCTCTTCCTTCGTTCTCATCAGGTAGATGAGTAGATCCACCTCGTCGTCGTCATCCTCCAATAGTAGATTACCATACCAATCCTCTAGCACCTCCCGTATGTCCATCCCGCCTACTGCTGAAGCCACTAGCATTTACCACAAAAACAGAAAACACAAGAAAACAAAACAGATTGCGACGATCAACCAGGAAAAGCAAAACACTAAACCAGTCTGATAGCCCCTATCATTGGAGCATCATGCGACGAAATCAAACCCAACCCCTACCTTGCAACAACCAGCCGAAAAACAAACCCCAACCGACCAGTGGCTCCTATTGATGGAGAATTAAAGGTAACGACCAACCAATCAGAACAGAGCAACCATTGCACAGATCGAAAAAACAAACGCAATTGTGCTACAAGTGGATCTGCACAAACGACAGCGCTCAAAATCCTACATCACGACTTACGAGGGGCAGACCGCAGTTGCCAACATATTACAGAGTATTAGATAGTACAATAGTATTGAAATTTGAAAACAAATAAAACTAGAAAATGATAATCGCGATGAAACAAGTAATTTGGCAACTTATCTACATAGTAAGTACACTAATTTTTCACTATTATACACTGTACAATTCCATTTAAACTTGGACCAGCGATGAATAATGACAATGCAAACTACATCCTATTGAGTCGGATAGACACAACTCTGTTTGAAATCATGTGAGTGTGCGACCTTATCTAGTCTATCACTAGGTCACTCTTACAAACGGCTAGTTTGATCCACCTTGACCCATGGCATGCATCAGGTTGCTAGCTAAGCCTACGCCTACGATTTGTTGTACCTTGACGACATTATCTTTCCACTGCACGAAAGTGATCTCTTCCCTACCTCACCCATTAATGAAGATGAAGATGACGATGAAGAGCTCTTCCCTGTTACAGGCCTCATTTCCCCATTCTGTGGAACCAAGTCCATAGAAACTGATCTTCTAATTCCAGCAGTTTCAGCTCCATTATTCATTGATGATAATAGCGAACCCCCCTTCAATTCATCAATCCTACTCTCTCCCACGCCCGATCTGCTCTCTCCTTCCAAGCCTTCTTCAATCATCCCTCCCCCGCCCCTGCTTCCCGGAGCCACCGCGGCGGCGGAGATGGCAGCTTCCGGAACTAAAATCGGGGCGCGGCAGATGGGGCAATTGGTGTGGGAGGCAAGCCAAGTATCAATACAATGGATGTGGAAGGCGTGATTACACTTCGGCAAAACCCTAACCCTCTCCCCTTCTTCAAATTCGCTCAAGCAAACACAACAATTGCTGCAATCACCGTCTTCACCTCTCTGGTTGTACCTGGAAACGGTGATCCGGTTTATCATCGACTGCCCTAGGCCGACGGTTCTGATGTGCCATATCGGATTGTCCGCCGCATCCTCCGCCAAATTACTCATCCTCTCATCAACCGCGCCGTCTTCTTCTGACGAATCGCCGCCGCCACTCCCCCTCCTCCTCCAATTTCTGACGACTACGTAGCCGGTCATGAAGAGGAAGAAGAGAGCTGCGCCGGCGGCGAGCATGGGGAGGAAAATAGGCACCTGGAACTGGAAGTGCTTTACTGGACTGGAGGAGTCCCGGGAAATGAAGTCCGGCGGCGGCGGAAGGGGAGGAGGATGCAGAGGCGGCAAAGGCGGCAGGGGAGGGGGGTGTAGAGGCGGCAACGGCGGTAAGGTTCGTCTGCAAGTGGAGAAACAGAGAGGGAGGCAGAGTAGTGGGCAAGGGAGGCCGTGCTCTGAGTTCTTATTTGGATTGCAGAACTGGTCGCAGGGCGGGTCGGATATAATAATCTGGAGGGAACCGGTTAGCAGCTTCCTTCTTCGCCGCCGGCGGGAAGCCATCGTCGATCTCCACTCTGCCGTTTCTTATGGATGCGGTTATAATTGACGGTTTTATTAATGGCATGCGACTGGGGTTGACTTTAACGTAAGAAACGAGAACGTGTGGGTTGCAAGGCGGGAGTAAATGCAATCCATATTCGAGAAGTCCGAACTAACGGCCATCCATCCAATTTATGACCCCCTCCCTCCCTTTATTGTTTGTCGTTTTATGTCAAAATCAAATGTATCAATTAAACAAGGGAAATTTGTAAAATTAGTCCCGTAACTTTTGGTGGTGACCGATATTGGTCCTCTAACTTCATTTACTTGCATAATACGTCCTCTAATTAACATATTTGTCCAATTTCAGGACATTTATGTCGGAAAGTAATAATTCCGCCGGAAATTAACACATCAGCGTCAATTGTTCATATTTTTTTCATATGGCCTAGTTGACCTGGACTTGAGACCCTGTTTTTTATTCCCTCTCAAACACTCCTTATTTTAAAACATCCTGCACATAAAGAAAACACTCTGATTCATAAAACATTAAAAAAATAGCTAGATTAAACTGAATACGGAGTAGTAGATAATACATCTTCAATTTATTTCTTATAAATTCCGAATACGAAATTTTAAAAATGAACATAAAGAAAAAACTGCACTTCAAGCTATTTTTTTAAAAAAAAATTCTTGACACTTATCAATTTTAAAAGCCTCCATTTGTAACCATAGAAACGGTCCAGGTAAAAGACAACTCGTTAGTTTTGCTAATCAACTGTTATTCTTGTTCCAATGTCTTGTTAGAACCTTTAACATTAGATTTTTTTCTCTAATATCAAAGTAATACTACATATAAAATATTTTATTTTTTCAAACAAAATTCGAAACCTACAAAATTAAAAAGTTTAGAGTTCTTACTCTGTTTCTAGAGCACACATGGAACCTCCTTCTCTCGTCATATATCAGTCTATGAAGTTGAAACACCGGCCTTCTTACCACAATGATATTCCATAGATCCTTGCCTGAGCCATTATTTACACTTTAGAGGAACACACACTCACCTTCCTTCCATATGTGGAGAAGCCAGACCAAGAATTACGAAGCCTCCGTTCTTCTCTTAGGTTTTGTGCTTTTATTGTTCTAATAGGGGATTTGGGAGATCAGAGCACAATGAAGTGTTTGGGAATAAGTCATAAAAGGGGCCCACATCCAAGTCAGCTGCAAACGTTGGGAAAAGATTACAACAACGGGAGATTGACATGTAACTTTCCGGCCAAAATTTAACTTACGATGGCAATGTCCTCAAATTGAACAAATATATTAGTTGAAGGATGTATATTGCAAGTATGTAAAGTTATAGGATCAATATCGGCTATTGGCCAAAGTTACAGGACTCTTTTAACAAATTTCCCATTAAACAATAAAATTATTATGTACCACACTACCACGTATATACGATTGTATATAATAGAAGCAAACCGAGTGTTGAGTTAGTAAAGTGTGTTTGGTTCTATTTCGCAAGTACAGAACAATTTCAATAAGTTCTTATAGAGCACGAGCCTCTAATTTACGGAGTATGATCTAAGTTTGTCAATCATTTATACATAAAAGCGGCATGCGGTGAAGGCGATGTGATGTGCTCTCATTAGCTAATCCCGAATCATAATATCATTCATTTTTTATGCATTAAATGTGATATCCCGCCGATTAATGACTTCTCGGCGTTCCCGTTATTCACCTGGTATAGGAGACTTTGTTGCTAGAAAGTTTGAAGGTGTTTTATCCTATTTGGATATTGCGCCCCGAGCGAGGTATAGATTCTAGGTGGGAGGGATCTCCCGGTCGGAACGGTCTGCATCCCGAGCATTGTTGTTCGTGTCCTTGTGCCAGTTAGGCCTGCGGTGGTTTTGGGCCGGACTCCTAATAAGCCTAATGCCCCAACACCGAGGTCAATGATTTTTTTTTTCAAAATAGAAGTAAAAAATAATGTATAACCAAACTACAAATATTATGTTTTTTTTCGGCAAGAGTTAATTACTTAAATCACATTTATTCATTATTTGGCGTTAATGTGGTCGTATAAACGTCATTATCAATAGAATTTTCAAATAAGAACGTAAATATTCTTATTTTTAGGAAGAAGAATACCCTTTTGTCCTTTAAAAACACCCTCCTTTTCTTTTATGGATGTCCTGAATAAAATCTCATTTACTTATTTGGTATTCCCTCGAACTAGTTAAAATGGTTTCACTTTTTCTTTTTCACCCGTCCCACGAAAATTGTCTCATAATAAATTTGATAATGTTTGTACAAATTTCTAGATCATTTTAATTTTATAATAACTTATCTATTTAATATCAACCAATAAATTCACTTTTTCTATAATAGCTCAAATTCCTCTCGTACCAATCTTGGGGAGACAGGGGTAGTATATACTTATCGTATATTCTTTCAATCTATTCTACTACATTTAAGTAATAATGACAACACAATGCCAAACAATGTTAAAAATGTCAAGCAGTGTCAAAATAGTGTAATGTAGAATAAAATATAGGCTTAAATACGTTTTAGTCCCTGCAAATATGACACAATTTGTTTTAAATCCCTGCAAAATACTATCTATTTTTCTTGTTTTTCATCCCTGCAATATGCAACATTTTGTTTTTAGTCCATCTCTGATTCTGAAACTACTCTACTTACAAAAAAAGTTATTGTCAGTGTCATAAATCTACTAGAAATATTTAAATTCTTCCTTTTATAACTTTTTAAGGCTAATATGAGAGTTAAAACAATGTAAAACTAGGTATTCACATTTTAAAAATATATATTAAAAACCTTCTAAAAATAAAAAATTAAATACTTTTTTAATAACATGATAGAGAACTAGAAGAGATCTATTAATCGGGGTTATTTTGAGGTCAAACGGAGATTGTTATCATTAGTGATGGACTAAAACCATCCTAAATTGCAGGGACCAAAAACAAAAAAATAATTTTGCAGGGATGCAAAACAAAATGTGCTATATTTGCAGGGACTAAAAACATATTTAAACCTAAAATATATTTTCACTACAGGAGGACAAAAGTCAAAAGAAAAAACATTTCCTTGAAGTGCATACTATCTCAACTGGGAAGCTTAAATAGAGATTAAGGTGATAGTATTGTTTGAATTTCATACGGAGTATTATTTTTACTTCTATTAATTAAGGGAAATTTCTATCTTTATACTCCTTTATCATTTTGACAAGTGATTAGCTTCCAAAATTTGAACGCATTGGGCAAACACCGTAACACTTTACTGATTTTCCTAGCTTATTGAGTTGTATCAATGAATGTTGTCACTTTCAATTGAAGACAAGTATGAGGTCAAACTCTCCTTTTTCTCCTATTTAAAGATATCAATTGCAAAAATTCAATTTAATTACTGCATGTATAAATTAACCTTGGGTCAAGTTTTATGTAGATGAGGGCGTGTAAGAAGTGCTACTGCACAAGGCCTTTCGATTTAGAAGACCCAAAATTTTAAATATAGTCTACATATATAATATACAAAATCTTTTTTTATTTGATTAAAGATTCCTATTTTAATTTCCATCATTTGCAATGGAGCCAAAGATTCATTATTTTTTGGCTTGAGAATATGATAGAATAAAGCAAAATGGCTCACTAAACTGTCGGCACTTCTTTGTTATGAAGTAGCAGCCAGTCCATGCAATTTGGACGTGATTTTCACTATGGGTCATCCGGAAACAGTCTCTTTGTGCTTTAGTACAGGGGTAAGACTGCGTAAATCCCCCCTACCCCACCGTAGGTGAATGAAAATGATGAAAGATTCTTATTTTAGTATTTTGTTTTTAAATACAAACATTAAATACTACTCCGTAATATCTATATGTAATGAAAATGCAATAGTTAATTATAAATGTGCAACTTCTTTATTACATAAGGTCTGGATAAGGCCTTGTTATAGTAATTAGCACAAATTACTCGTACAGTTTGGACGAGCTTCGTTTTAAGGGACGGAGGAAGTAGTTTTTTCAGTAATATCGTACTATATATTTTTTAGTTCATGATTTTAATTCATTTCTTTTCGGTTTTAGTTTTTTTTACCGATTTTGGTTGTTCAGGTTTGAAATATGATATTATATCTCAATGTCACATTTGATTGTAATTTTTCTGGGGTTATTTTTTAAAGGCTGCTTTTATATTATATTTATTTAATATAGGGTCTATTTTACGTGATTTGCACTGATTCTCCTAATTTATTGAGCGGACGTGGCGATAATACATGAGTATCAAAATGCTGTGAGGAATTGAATAGATATTTCGGGCAAGTCTATATGCCAGATGAATAAGGTTGTGGCTAGATGGGATAATCTTCTTCTAGTAGAGTATAGCTACTTGTTGCCATACCGGATACTGACAGGTTTCTTTAACTCAAACTTCGGGTGGGCGTTAGCAGATATGGAACCATTTAGGATGTTTTCTTTTAGACTGAAATTTGCTGGTCTGGTCTGGTCTGTTTAAGTCTGGTCTGGTCTGGTCTGTTTAAGTCTGGTCTGGTCTGGTCTGGTCTGGTCTGGTCTGGTCTGGTAAACGTCTGGTCTCTGTGTATCTTATAACTACGGAAGTCTGGTCTGGTCTGGTCTGGTCTGTTTAAGTCTGGTCTGGTCTGGTCTGGTCTGTTTAAGTCTGGTCTGATCTGATCTGGTCTGTTTAAGTCTGGTCTGGTCTGAGACTGAAAACAGTCCAAAAGAAAACATCCTTATTTATTGCTCTACTAGATCCTCCACAAACACTTCTGGAGTTCGCGTAGAAAAGAGTATTATGGTTTCAGATAATATAGTCAAATTTTGACTATTTTAGAAATAATAAAAATTGAGCTACTTTAGTCCAAGCAATGATTTACTCCTGTATAAAAGTGGTTTGCAAAAATTGTTTTTACGTAATATCAATTAAAACAAAGTATGATATATTTGCAGAGACTAAAATGATATTCAAACCTATTCTAAATTAGATTTTACGATAGTAAAGACATTTCGATATAGTTTCTGAATAGATAATTTTAATTAATCGAACTGATTTAGGTATCCATAAAGGATGTAACTTTATCTTTAGTCCATTTTAAGAACTGCAAATTGCAAACCGGTCCTTGTGAGGGGAATATTTACTCGGTCACCCTTGATCTCTTTCATTTAAAGTGGCAACGCCATCCAAAAGAAAAAAGTGAAGAGGGTTTGGAAAGAAAAATTCTTAGGCAATGTTTTCAATGACCTAATGCAATGAAACGGAACGAAATGTGTAATGCAATATAAAATGTAATGTAGTGGAATGAAATCTCTATTTCATTAATATGTTTGGTTAATCCTTGAAATGTAATGGTGGTAGAAGAACAAGGCATATATAGAAGTCGTTGGGTGATGTGGGCACTGCCATTGGTGGTGTTGTCTCTTTTCACACCGAAGGTGAGCCATATGGTTGAATCCTCCGTCAAGGCCGGTTAGTTCATTTTCACGACATGCAATAAGGTGTAATCTCAAATACGCATCTTTTTTAATGTAAATCTTACTACACATGTAAAAGTAATGAATTTAATGTATGCAATGCAAATGGACGATTTGAAATAAAATGACATACCAAACATCGTATTCGGATCAATATGTAATATTCATTACATTACATGATTGATTACGTCATACCAAACATAATTTTTGGTATATATGACTTATGTATTCGCCCATTTTGTATGTGTGAATACAATTTATATCGATAACATTTAGAAAAATTGTTTGACACAAACAATTCTTTGTCCATACCCCAACAATCTATCTTAGGAAATGAAAAAAGTTGTATGTTTGAATAAAAAAGTGATTTGATAATATTTTCCAAACATTATTACAATTGCTTCTATTTTGGATGAGAAAATATAGTATACTATTTTGAAATTTCTACAATGTCCTATTATACAAGTAAAAACAATGTTAAACTTCAATATAAAAGTTTTGTGTTTTTAATACTTAAAAATACCGTCAGTTAACTCATACTTTAGAAAATACTGAGACTTATGAAATTAATAATCCATTTGAATACTTTATAATGTCAAATATGACAGTGAATCCATAATAACATTAATTTAATCTCTACGTATTGGTATAAATTTATGAACTTAAGTAAATATTGTTATCTTTTTCCAATATACTACGTATATGATCAAGTATCTTATCAACAAATTTCATAAAACAGTTAACTTATTAATTTATACTTAACGAACTTGTTGATTAGGTTGGAAAAAGTTCTGAGTCCTATCTTTAGGTTCAAGACAAAACATTCAAGCTCAACGTTGATAAAGTGATAAACTCGCCGAAGAAAAAAAATAATGTTCCAAGACAACCCACCGCTAAACTTACATAGTACAGAGCAGCTACGTAACTCAAGCATACCAAACGAGAACAAAGTTAATGTTAATCTTAATCTTAACCGTTCATTGACATTGAAAGATTGCAAAACCAGAAGTAACGATTAACAACGTTAGATGATTTCAGTCTTCGACTATAAAACCAAAGAAAACTATCATTCAGCTTCAAAGAAGTTAAACTTGAAATCAAATACTCAACATGTACAATTCAACCATTTGGGTTACCGGCTTAGCGTTGCTAACGAACATTACAAAGATATTAGGACATGCACGAGTGGCTTCTTTTGACATATATACTCATTTTTTGTGAGATTTCATGACGGGTTTTACACGAAATGATTATATTATTGTTGCAAAAAATCAATAGTGTAAAGACTACATTTTGAGATTCAATAGTGGAAGAGGAAACAATGAACTCTGTCAATGGTTTCTCAGCTTGCTTACTGGAAACTTGAGTCATCTGATACAACTGATGTTTTCTCAGGGTTTGTTTTACTTACCAGATTGTTTATGTTCATGCCATAAATATGTCCCATTTTGGCACGCTTTGTTTCCAAGTATCTCTTGTTGTCTTTTGTTATCGGGGTCACAAGAGGTACCCTTCCAGCAACTGCCAGACCATAGCCTTTCAATCCACTGTATTTAGCCGGGTTGTTTGTCATCAACTTCATAGTTTTGACGCCAAGATCTCTTAGTATCTACCCAAAAGATAAATCTCATGTTACATCATATAAATATAAAGATACAAACTAACTCATGACATGTTGGTTTGATGATTTCTGAGGAGTGGTAGGATGATATTAATTTTTTCAAATCATGTCCATATTAAATGATTTTACATAAATTAGATAAATTACTCCCTCCTTAATAGAGGTAGTACATACTTACAATATCTCTTACGAAGTAATAGTTATTTCTAGGTTAGAACTGACTAATAGAGATACATTAGTAAAATAAAAATCAACCCTTCCCTCCAATCCCCTCTGAAATAGCCAATGAGCCTTTACAGGAAGTGTGAACTGTGAAGGGAAAATACCTGTGCACCTATTCCATACTCTCGTGAATCAACTGGTAAGCCAAGTTCCTCATTGGCTTCAACGGTGTCCCGCCCATCATCTTGAAGATTGTAAGCACGAAGTTTATGTCCCAACCCGATCCCTCTTCCTTCATGACCTCGAAGGTAAACTAACACACCCCTGCCGGCAGCCTCAATTTGTTGCATAGCAAGTGCCAATTGATTCCCACAATCACATCTGGCTGAACCAAATATATCTCCCGTCAGGCATTCAGAATGCACCCGAACAAGAATATCTTTCCCGTCCCCAATCTCACCCTATTATTTATTGTCAACAATGTTCAACGGGATTAGAGTCGATATATATCTGCTCTGATATATTTGATTCAGATTTTAGATGTGTGTGTGTGTGACATATTACCTTCACCATCGCGATATGTTCGATCCCATCTAAGACAGATCTGTAACAATGGGCAATGAAAGGCCCCCAATTGGTAGGTATCTTTGCAGCAGAAGCATGTTCCACCAATTGGTCTCTTTTCCTTCTATATCTGTAAAACAATGTAATTTACCAGTTACACTTGGGAACATTATCAAGCAATATGAGTGTTCATGATAAGTTTATGATCAACTCAAATTCTTAAGAAGTAGTGGTTTTGTATTATTCAGTTCATTCATGTGTAGATAGTCCATAGTTGACACCTGTGTCTAGTTTGGATCAGACTGGATTTCATATATTATTATAGGACAGCAATTAGGCCTGCATTACTGTATGACGTAGAGTGTTGGGCGGTGAAACAATGTCACATTCAAAAGATGAGTGTGGCAGAGATGTGCATGTTGCGTTGGACGTGTGGGCATACTAGGAAGGACCACGTGAGGAATGAGACAATCAGACACAGGGTGAGAGTAGCACTTATTGAAGACAAGATGTGGGAGTCATGCCTACGATGGTTTGGTCATGCGCGTAGAAGACCGAGCGATGCACCTGTCAGACGACTTTTCCCATCATCTTTTCTTCTTGTTTTTTTTATCCTTTTATCCTTATATATATAAACATTATTTTTATCATTTTTATTTTATCATTTTTAGGTATATTAATCTCTTTTTATAATATCTTTTTATATTATCTTTTTTATAATAGCTTATCTTTTTTATCTTTATTTTCTTTCTTTTCCTTTTGGTGGTGATATCACGTATCGATTCATGTTAGCCGACCCCAATATCTTTTGGGACTAAGGCTTGGATGTTGTTGTTGTAATGATCAAACCACCCCATGAGAGTCAGTGCTTAACATGATAACATTATGCTATAAATCTGGAATAAGGTTAGGCCTAACCCCCCAGCTCAATAAAAGCTCTTTGGAGGGGGTATTCAGCTAATCTATGTGCCCAAAAGTTCGGTAACCTTTGTTTGGGACGGAGGGAGTAATTAGCTAATGTATTGAACTTCAAAGAGTTCTCAAGACAGGTGATGATGGTATTAATGAGGGCACTTGAGTGGGGCCAGCCACCTCTTCATGGACCATGCAATTTTTTCTGTAGGTGCTGCCTCACAACTAACTTTGATACAACGTTTTAATTAAGAGTTGAGCCTAATTCAACCTCAAAAAAACTTTCAAGAGGTGCGATGATTGATTATACATTCATATGGGGCTCATTGTTTCATATTTAATCAATGTGAAACAAAGTTGCGGAATACCTGATTAAATCAGCAATTGATATGATCTTTAAGCTATTATCATGAGCGAATTGCATAAGCTTAGGTAATCTAGCCATGGAACCATCATCATCCACAACCTCGCATAAAACTGCAACTGGTTCTAACCCAGCTAGCACAGCAAGATCAACCGATGCTTCAGTATGACCGGCTCGTTTTAGAACCCCTCCTTCCCGATACTTCAAAGGAAATATATGCCCAGGTCGATTAAAATCCTGCGGTTTAGAACCTTTGGATGCAAGAGCCAATATAGTCTTTGCCCTATCACTAGCTGATACACCAGTTGTAGTTCCAAATTTGGCATCCTGCATATATAAAGATGGGTCATTACTTTTAGGGAAACCCCATCCTAATATAATAGTAGCAACTCAACATCATCATTTAAGACTTTTGAGGGAAGGGATGACATTTAGTTTTTAGACAATTTCTGCATCCATAATTCCATATGGTTATAAATGAAATGAAGATTAAAAAAAATACATAAGGAATACATTACCTAACTAGATCTTAAGTTAAGACTAACAAATATAGATAGATTAGTGAAATAAAAATCAATCCCCACCGCTCCTGACTCCTTCGGAAACTCCTGAACCAAACAAGCTTTTAGGCTCTAGGGTGAGAGACCGCTAACATAAATATGAGAAGCATAATACAACAACAACATCCAAGCCTTAGTCCCAAAATATTGTGGTCGGCTAACATGAATTGATACATGATATTGGAGGCAAAATGAAAAGAAAGATAAGAAAGATAAAAAGATAGGTATGATAAATCAATAAATAAATAAAAAGATAACGATAAAGATAAATATAAGACTTGAAGTTCCATCTACCTAAACAGTGGGTGAAAAAAGAAACAGGCACAACATTCAAACATTCTAATTCCAAATTAAGACTCTGAGTTTGATCCTAAATGTCATATGTTATTTTTTTTCACCTAAAAGCTCAATTTCACATGAGAAATAGTCCAAAATGTCATTACAATATTTTTTATCTTATATTTAGCAAACGTAGGACCCGTAATTATATAACAAAGAAGGTCAAATATTGGTTATAATGCTTACCACTGAAACAGTGAATGCTGTAGAAAGTTTCTCCTCGTTATCCTTGTGATTTACCATCAAAGGAATCTCCAACCGCTCCAAGTCTTTTTCCATCATACTTACACAAACAATTCCGGTTCCATGTTTCACAATGAAAGCCATAGCTTCTGGTGTCACTTTTTCTGCAGATATTATCAGGTCTCCTTCGTTTTCTCTGTTTTCATCATCTACAACCAATACCATCTGCATGATTGGATCCATTATGACAAAGAAAAAGTTAGCCATTAAAACTTAAGGTTCTATAAAAAAAAAGGTTAACATATTAGAAGAAAAGTGCCTAACAGTCCAAGTCTTCATATGTGAACTTATATATTCAAAAAGTCACCTTAACTCCACAAGCATTAGTATGGTATTATCCGTTTTAGATCAAGCCTCCGCATATTCATTTTTTATACTTTTCAAAAGGTCACATACTAATGGAGTTAGATGGAAATTTACATTCAAGGCAATTCTCCCTTATGATTCCAATATGAGACTGCGGTTACACCCAGTATGTTATTATTGGATCCATTATGATTCCAAAATGAGACTGGGGTTACATCCCAGTATGATTGGATCTATTCTGAAAAAGCACAAGTTAGCTATTAAAACTTATGGTTCTATCAAAAAAATTAAAAGGTTAACATATTAGAGAGAAAAAAAGTGTCTAGCAGTCCGATTCTTCATATGTGAATTTATATATTCAAAGAGTCACCTTAACTCCACAAGCATTAGTATGTTATTATCTGTTTCAGGCCAAGCCTCCACATATTTGTTTTTTAAACTTTTTACAAGGTCACACACTAATGTAGTTAGATGGAAATTCACATTCAAGGCAATTATCCCTTATGATTCCAATATGACACTAGGGTTACACCAGTCCAAGGTTCGAAATTGCATATTGCGTGTTTGAGGCGGTTTCTTAGAATTGCCTATTGTGTAAGCCTCATTGCGCAATGAGGTGTAATCCTCAACTTTTACACAAATTTATACAAAAGAAGTTCAAATAATGTAATGAATACTAAAGTAAAAGAATGATTAAAGGCTTAAAAGTCAACTAATGTCATAATGATATAATATATTATTCATCCACTACGTATTAAGATATCCCTCCTCTATGTATTAAGATATCTTCTATGGAGTACAAGGTGTATAACTAACAAAGAAGCTAATAAAATAATATAATATGCATCCACTAGAAACTAATGAAATAATATAATACTCATGCACTAAATTATCCACTACAGAGTAGTGTAGTACCTATGTTTCTGTCCACTAAATCCTGTATCAATAAATAAATAAAATACAAAACCCATACATGTGTTGCCTAAATCCATTTCAGCCTTGTATCCTAAAGTCTCCAAAATTCTTAAGGCACGCCTTATTGCCCAAAGGCGTTGCACAATTTTAAACAATGCCGCAGTCCACAGGACATAAGGATCTATCTTACCAAGAGATCACATCACTTCTATTTTTTAAGGGAAAAAAAATTAAACCTTTCCCTGACGAATGTCTTCAATGGCATCAGGGATGGACGAGAACCCTTCGGATGGCCAGTCCAAATCAAACTCAGCAACATCAGAAGGAAAGCCACTTGGTGTTGGGATAATGTCTGCCACAGGGGTTCCAAAAGAACCTACAACATCTGGTTGTGTTGCGACCCCAACTGATAAGTCACAAAGTCGTGAATGTTTGGTCAAAATGGTCTGGAATATGACACTTGTTGCTTCACGAGATGACAAAGCAGATCTGATTCTGGTTTCCCCCTTGAAGCTCAATCGTGCCCTATGGTCCAGAGTAACCAGAAATGACTTCCCAGGTGGATGGGACGCATTCAATGATTTGAAAGTGCTGGAAGCTCTATAAAACATGTAAGAAAGTCAGTGGATGGCCATCAAAAGAGAGCAACAGATTATACTATTACTAGATAGCAACACATGCATGAGAATGTCCAGGAGACTGAGATTGATACCATGTTCATAATAGTCCAAGTCCAAACTTAGCATTTCTTACAATGTTCTGTTTTCAAGTATTTAGGCTCATGGATTGAAAATTCTATGTGATCCATTGGGTGTTAGACAAATCAAGTTTGTAAGACTAATGACTATAAAGTCATTGCTTTCCATTCAAACTAAGATAATAAAGTAGTTGAATCTGACTAACAGGCTTAACAGCATCAAGTTCCAAGCTAGAAAAATAACCAAATGCTAAATTCCTAACTTTTAGGATCCGAGTGATTAACATGAATTAAAAAACATAGAGGGTTCTGTAACGAGCAAACCCAGCATTACGGAGGTAATTCCAATGGCCCTAGTTGACCACAATTGGCCTTTTGAGTCCCCCTTAAATGGAGAGATAATAGAAAGTTCAAAAACTTTATAGAGAAGGTAGGACTTCCTAGAACTTTATACAAAACTGGAGTCTTTTGCAGCAAGATGAATCGAAATACATTAACATGAGATCAAAGGAAACTTCGACTCAGCAACATTGATTAAAACATGAGTTAAAAGCTTACTGTGGTAGAGAAGGAGCAATTGAAGCGGAAGAGATGTTAATTATGGAAGCCATGATCGGCCGCACAAAGCTGCGATCAAGAATCCCGAACGAATGTTTCGATCTATTGAGAAAGAAAGCTGCGACTTTTAAAGGAGTGGATGCGGGATGGGACGCTGAATTTAAACTGTTAGAATAGTCTTGTCTAAACTGGATTCACGTAAGGCTGCCCGCCCATATGCGCATCTCTGGCGAGGCATATACGGAGCAAGTGATTTGTGCAATAATTTGCAATTTGTGTTTCAAAAATGATCTCCGTACCCATTCTTATATCCCACCTTTGTACCCATCTATGTGAAACTTTTTTTATTGTCTATGAACCCAGGTTCACAGACAATATTTTGCACAAACAAAATATTGTCTGTGAACTGTGTTCACAGACAAAAGAAAAACTTTCACAAACATAGTGGGTATAAGGTGGGTATAAGAGTGAGTACATGAAGTATTGTTGTTTCTTTTTTTATCTAACAGGGGCGGCCCTAGGGTTTAACGGGGGCGACCGCCCTAGGCCCGAGAAAATAAAGGAAAAAAATAGGCTCAAAAATATTTTTTGTATGTAGCGTGAGTAGGCTTCTTTTTTTAATTTATAAACTCAAATAATTGGCTCAATGTTTAATTTTTAAAATAAATGTAAAGTGGCATGCTTCTCTTAATTCACTTCGGATCTCTATGTTTTATAATCTTTTCAATTACAAAATTACTAAGTTATGTTAAGCCGGCCTCTCAAATCCAAAACTCTCAATTCGTAAAGCTCATCCAAATTGATTTGTTGTTTCCAAATCCTTATATTAACAAGGGTAAAAAACATTGCAAAGCAGTGAGTCTCTCAGCGGTTTGTTAAGAATTGAAGTTAATCAATTGAGGAGTCCAAACGACGGTCGGTGACCAAAAAACTTATTCTTTCAAGGCTGCAAACAATCCATCCATGATCAATAAATTATTTTTGATAAAATAGGTGAATCAGGTTGGGATAAAGAGAGAAAGAGAAGAAGATTACAAAAGATGGAGTTAAGTTATAAGGGGTCAATGGAAAATTTTGTTAGCAATTATGAGGTTGTGAGAAATGTTTTTAAGTAATGTTTTTCAGAGTTGAAGGTTCTGATTAATTATCTGCGATCGACTATGTCTCAAGAAAGGCTCAACGAGTTAGCAATTATAAGTATTGAGCATCAGATATTTGAAAAAAGTTGATTATGAAGCAATTATTGATGATTTTGCTTCACAATGTTCTGCGAGAAAGATTTTTAAGTAATGTTTTTCTTTTTATGTGATGCTTGTGTTGTTACTTTTCACCAAATATGTAATTTAAATAATAATAATAGTAAATGAGTTTCGTTTTTATTTGGCCTTTATTATATAATTTTATTATAATTATTATTTTAAATAAATATAGCTTATTATTTTTCTTGAATATAAACCCAAAATATTATCTCGCCCATAGGCCCGAAAATAGACAGGACCGGCCCTGTTATCTAAGTACTCTGTAGTATTTATTTGTTAGCATACTCTATCTTGCACGAATATGGATACGCCGATGCGCGAGTACGGGTACGGCGATACGACAATTTCAAAAATTATAGGATACGGATACAGAGTATATTTATAAATATTAAAAATATAGGGTATAGTTTGCAAATATATATAATTCAGAGGTTCATAAATAAAATAATAATAATAGTACAAAAAAATAACTATTATAATAAAATTTCAAAGATTAGGCTAAAAAAACTAGATAATGATATTTCGATTTAAATTCAAATAATATTTTTTGTTATCTATTTGCATTTACATCTAAGTCTTGTTTCAATTAAAGCTCATCAAACGATTAAATGACACATTATAGTATTCCATCATTTTCCATACTCTTGAAATAATCTTTATCAATGTTCTGCATCTTGTGGTCGCTTGGGCAGCTACTAAATTTTCGTCATGTTGTGCATGAAATTAGGGTTATAGGGTCAGATGCGTATCGGTTCACGGATACGGGTATCGGAAGTATCGGTATTTTTAAAAATAAGGCTGATACTTTTGTGAAATTACGGCTACGGACCCAATACGTACAAGATACGTATTGGATACGCGGATACAACATCGGGTGATGTATCGGTTCACAATAGAGCACACCTACTATTTGCGCACTGATACAAGGTCTATCACCATTGAGTTGACTGAGTCACCGTAACTTACAATCACCCAAAAGTCTTATCGGATCGGGACGCGGGGGTTCTTGGGGTTAGAGATTCAACCTTTTGGAAGAATTGTTAGCCTACCACGTTCACCTTTACTTTTTTTCTTTTTTTCTTTAGTTTTGTGGAACACTCAATTATTTGATGGGCCTTTATTGTTTTTTATGTACTCATACATCCATTATATTATTTACTCTTTATTAAATGTCAAAAAAATTTCAAAAATGTCAACATCTCTAATTAGGATGAATTTTGATCTTCTACTCGAGAGTGTTACAGACTTAAAGACATATTATTGAATCACACAGTGCTTGGGTTGAGTCTTTTTTTCTTTTTATGAATATGCCTTTTTCCCGAAAAATGCTTTTTAGTTATATAAAGTAATTTGTTAAGAAGAAATTGGAAAATTCAAAAATACATCTTTATTTGAATGTACCTTTTTATGTAGGGAAAGTTATACTAAAACAGTTTGAAAAATTCTAAAATAGGACTGCCAAGTTTTTTATTCCCAAAATAGGAGTAATTACTGCCATGTTTGGAAAATACTGCCATGTTTGAAGTCTAGTACTGCCAAAACATGACAGTAATTAGTCCTATTTTGGGAATAAAAACATGACAGTCCAATTTTGGAATTTTCAAACCTTTGTAGTCCTATTTCGGGTAATATCTCTTTTATGTAAGCTTACCTAATTTTTCAGAAGATGCTCCCTTTTGTCTCATATTTGTCTTGAGGATTATGTAAGCTTACCTTTGTAGTCTTACAAATGACACGAGGATTAAGATAATGGGTATTATGTGATGGAAAGTTGTGTAGAGTAGAGAAAATGGGTAAGAATGTGTAAGAAATATTGTGAACCACAAATTCTTTGTCAAAAAAGAAAAGAAGAGATAATTTTGAAATGGACGAAAAAGAAAGTTTGAAGATAATTCTGAGAGAGAGTACCTAATATAATTATGAATTATGATAATGCTTTTACGTGTTTTTTATAACTAAAATAGTCATACATTTAAGAGCCATTTTGGTAACTTATTTTTCGACTTATCAGTCTTATCAGTGTTTTTTACCGAACACTTCACTTTTAATTTTGTGCGCTGAGTTATGTAAAATAAAAAAAGTATTGATAAGGTTGCTTTTCTAATCGAATTGGTTCAAATGATTGGAAATGAATACTTAAAATATTTTCCCATGTAATTTATTCTTTCCTTTAATCATAAAATATATTTTAAATATGACTTTGGATGTTTTTACTTGGACTGTAATTTGCCCCAGATCAGACCAGACCAGACCAGACCAGACCAGACCAGACCAGCAAATTACAGTCCAAGTAAAAACATCCTTTGTCATAATTCAGCAATTTCAGATAGTTCAGTCACTTCAACTCTGGTTTTCTCAATTTCTGCAAATTCTAATGCTACCAAAAGTCCAAAATAATATGAACAAAAGATCTTTCTACAATACATCAATTTGGCAATCCATATTATCAACCTTATCAACCATCTTTTTATTGAGCACGTAAATAAGGTTGAAGTTATTTATTTGGTTGAAGTCGACATTATTGTTTTAGCTATTTTCAAATATCCTTTTATTTATTTTCCTAATAAATTATATTTCAAATGCTACCTATGTTTCTTTTTAATTGAGACATGTTAAAATTTATATTATTCGCATGCTCTACTTTGACTACATTTTATTTTTTAATGTATGAAAATTTAGGGCCTGTTTACTAACAGAGATATTTTCCTGTTTTCTACTTCTCTTTTTCTATCTCCAATTTTTTGTTTTTATTCTTCAGTTTTTCTATCTCCAATTTTCTGTTTCTATTTTTTAGTTTTCCATTTTCAAATCTGAAAACATGTTCATCAATTTTTTCACCCAGTTCTCCAATTCCACAACCTTGACCCATACCCTTACCACGATCTTACACTCTATCCATACTCCCTCGCAACCCTTCATACCCACCCATACCTACTCGTAGGGGTCGAGATAGGGAAGTTATGGGTGGGGGTGGGGTAAGGGGTATGGTCGGGGTGGGGTGGTAAGGTCTAGGGGTAGGGGGTTGGGTGGGGGTAGTTGGTGGGTTAGGGTCGTGGTTAAGGGTAAGGGTGGGGTAGTGGGTAGAGTTTGAGGTAAGGTAGAGGTAGGGTATGGAGTTGGGATAGGATGGCGGTAGGGTGGGGCCGGGACCAGGGTGGGGCTGAGGTAAGGGAAGGGGTAGGGGTGGGGGGTAGGATGGCGGTAAGGGTGGGGGTAGTGGGTAGGGTTGGGGTGTGGGTAAGGTAGGGGTAGTGGGATAGGATGGTGATAGGGTGGGCCCGGGATCTGGGTGGGGCCGAGATAGGGGAAGGGTAGGATGGTGGTCGGACGGCGGAAAGGTGGGGGTAAGATGGCGGTGGGGTGGGGCCGAGGTAGGGGCATGTGGTAAGGGGTAAGGGGTAATATGCGGGTGGGTCGGGGTGGGGTCGAGGTGGTAGGGGGTGGTAGTAGGGTGGGCTTGGGATCTAGGTGGGGCCGAGGTAGGAGAAGGGTAGGGGGTAGGATGGTGGTAGGATGGCAGTACGAGGGTGGGGGTAGGATGGCGGTGGGGTGGGGATGAGGTAGGGGCATGTGGTAAGGGGTAATATATGGGTGGGGGTAGGTTAGGGTGGGTCGGGGTGGGGTCGAGGTGGTAGGGTAGGGTGGATCGGGGTGGGGCCGGGGTGGGGTAGGGTCATTATTGGGAAAAATGGGTATGCGGGTTGGGGTTGGGTGGGTAAGGTAGGGTAAGGTAGGGGTAAGGGGTAAGGTACGATGATGGAGGTACCGGAATAGAATCGACATCGGAGCGGGACCGGACCCACCACTACTTGTAAGTATGCAAATTCATTGCAGTGGCACTATAGCATCTGCGTTTTCCAAATTTGGAAAACTAGTAAAAGTCACTTCTCCAAATCATTAAGGAAAAGAGAGACATGTCTCATTTTTCCGTTTTGGAAAACGATTTGGTAAACGCGTTTTTCTTTTTTCCTTTCTCCAGTTTTCCAGGAATTTCTTTGGTAAACATG